CTCCCCTTCCTCCTTCCCTCCCTCCCTCCCGCGTAGACCCCTCTACGGAGTGCGCATTGAGGACAAGATGCGGGGCTCGGGCGTGGCCAAGGCGCACGGCTGCATGATGGTGCTGGCATGGGTGTTCTGCTCCAGCGTGGGCGTCATCTTGTCGCGCTACTACAAGGACATGTGGCCCAATTCTGGCCTGCTGGGTGAACGCGTCTGGTTCCAACTGCACCGCATCCTGATGGGTGTGTGTGTCGGTCTCACCTGCATCGCTGTCATCCTCGCCTTCGCCTTCTGCTACGGATACTCGACTCTGTCATCCTATCCGGACTACATTCATCCCATCCTTGGCCTGATTGTCCTCTGGTTGGCTGTCATTAATGTAAACTGCCGCCGTTTGTGTGCGTGTATGCGTGGAGCGTTAGGGTGTGTTTGGTATCCGATCTCCACCCTACCTGGAAACGCGGTTGGGGTCGGCTACGCTGTCCTGGTCCCATGTGTAAATGCAGTGTGAGTATTGCAAGCAAAGTAAGCCGAAGGAGGATGCTGAAATCGTTAGTGGGAAAGTAGCCAAAGCTAAAACGGAAAGGGGCAACCTGATGCCTAATTTTAGAGGTAGGGTTGGTTTATGGGATTTGGGTTAGTATCTGGCTGAGACTTGAGTTTAAGCTTAGGGTTTGTGTTAAGTTTAAGGTTTCCGGTTAGAGTTAGGGTTGGGATTGCGGTTGAGGTTACGTTTAATGTTAAGATTGGGGTTAGGGTTATGGTGGGGCTACGGTCAAGGTTAGGGGTAGGATTTGGGTCAGGGCTGAGACTAGGACTATGGTTTATGGTAGGTTTAGCATTAAGTTTAGGTCTAGCGTTAGGTTTATAATAACGATAAGGATTAGGTTTCCTTTTGAGGTAACGGCCAGGTTTAGGGTATTGTGGCTTCGAGTGTCCCGTCCGCCAGGTCTTTTGTGGCGTATCTAGGTTTCCTTCAATTTAGCGGCAGATTTGTCATGCATCAGGTTACCTTTTCCATTTCAACCTCGGCTACTTTCCCCACTAACGATTTCAGCATCCACCTTCGGCTTATTTTTCCTTTCAATGCCCACATTTCGATTACACCTGAGAGGGACCAGAACAGCGCAATCGACCCTTGCGGCAACTTAAACTATCTCTACCTCGCCTAATCTTCTCACTGCAGACTTCCAACTGATTTTCATGCGACGAAGAGGGGCGAACGTAGAAGAAATATTGTAAAATTTGTTTAAAGATGGCCATTATATTGAATTGTGCATAGAGGTTTACTCAGTGCTTCCATCATGGGTTGAAACTCAAAAACACCACATAATATTTGTAAAGAACTCTCAGGCAGAAGCAACTACTTACATCAAGCAACAGTAATGCTGCGTAATAAATCCAGATTTCGATAAATTCTCGTTGGGCTAGTACAGTTATATGGGAACGGGGTAGAAGAAGAACATGCCAGCGATAAGATAAATCGATAAAGGTTCGCCTTTCAACGCAGGCGGGGTGTGGGAATGTGGGGAAGGGGGTGGGGTAGGAGGGGGGGGGGTAATAGCAGTGTCAGGGGCATAAGCAGCACCATTCTCGCGCATATTGTCGATCCCGGACATCATGTGGACCCCAACGAAGCTTTCCGTGTGATTTGTACGGTCCGATCGAGCTATACGAAGCTACTCGGACAGCGTCTGTTAGCAACAGCAGAGGCGGCCGCCACCAGGCTACAAAAACCAATCTTATGTGCACAGAAAAACCACGTTCAGGCTCAGCGCCTACAGTGGCCGAAGGTCGACTAACGCTGCAACTCTCCGCGCCCTTCCGCTCTCACCCCGCCCCTGACACTGACTGCTATTACCCTCTCCTCCTACCCCCACTCATTCCCCCAAAATCCAGATTTCGTCAAATCCAAGCAGCTCTCGAGGACCGCCTGCATTCGGAATCCGCATAAAACTTCATCAAAAGGTGCGATTTATAGCATTGTGCTAAGATGTGTACTTATATGTGAGATGTGTCACTCACAGCGATGTATTTCGCAACTTGAAGACGTTTATTGATCAGTGTGCTTCTAAAAGGTACAACCTACTGACAGCTAATTCAAAAGACTGGCACCCTAAGCAATCGCGGGCAAAGTCGTCGTAGGATTTACGTAAGTCTTTGCGTCATGATAGGCAGAATAACATAACGGAATGAGTGAGTTCCGTAAGAACGATCGGTGAGCGCCCCCTACCATTGTATATTCCCGATCGAAACCGACAGGACAACGGGCTCGTGGCCCAGTGGTTAGAGGCGTTGGTCGCGAGTTCGAGCCTCGGGTATGCCACACTTCGGGGTTGGCTATGACTGACTGCCGACGACTAATGAGCCAGAAATGGCCATTCCAGTCGCTCTTGTTCTTGTCGGTAATATTATTTTGCCTATATTACGCGCAACTATGTGGCTGTTGGTTGGGCTCGAGAGAGATAGAGCCCCAAAGCCCAACGCAGGACGAATGAGTTCCGTAACACAACCACGGAGCGCTTCATTTACCGGTGTCTACGGGAACCTGGATTAATTCGACGGATTCACGAACAGTATTTGTCATACTCCTTGTACAAGGCATTAGGCCTTTTCCTTTGATACTTTCGAGGGCAGTACTTCGGTTTTAAGGTCTGTAATTTCGGTTCAGCCTGGACTGTGGCTCAAGATCGCCTGCGATACAAGAATCATGGTGTTAGGACGGCCCAGAACATGACGCACCGTTCCTGTCGTCCGGCGGTCACGTCTGACAAATAACCGCAAACCGGCAGAGCAGTCTCACCTAGCACGCACGCGGAGTTACGCATGACCTTCAGGCGCCCATGCGAGCCCTCGGGACTGGACCCAGTAGGAACACGCAAACTAGACAACGGCTGGACCCTTA